TGCATAACTCAGGCCTATAACTCTGATGAGTTATCATTTAGCTCCATTTCAGGTTTCTTGGGCCTCTGAGCAGCAACGATTTCTTCCATGGGCTCTGAGCTAGTTCCAGGAAGCTGCGAGCCATGGAGATGATGGGCAGATGGCATAAGCCCTATYTCACCGCCTTCAGCAGCTAGAGGCTGACAAGAGCTTCTTCTCCACCTCACCCCTTCTTCTCAGCTTCTCCCACTCTTCCTTTCCTTTGAACACAGCCAGCGCCTGTCACTGGAAAAGCCCTTCCTAGTCAATGTTCCTACCATGACAGTTGCTCTGAGCCATTGTCCCTCAACTGTAGAGATGGAGCACATTACTTTGTTTCATATGAACAGGGATCAACTCTCCAGCTGGACAGGAAAAATAGTCCCTCACACCTAGAAGGCATTTAGAGCAAGAGATTCCTTGGAAAGTTAAAAAAAAAAAAAAAAGTCTTGAAGCCCAGGTCCCAGACCAAGTAGCCCAGCATCTCTTGGGGTGAGACCAAAGTCAATATTTTTAACTCTAGGTAATGCCAGGAAGCAGCCATAGCTGAGAATCACCTCTTCAGACCTCTGGAGTCTGCTGCAAACACTAGGTCATTTGAGCCAGGCCCACCTGGAAAGGGATGTGGGACAGGTTGCTCCATTCTAAGAGGAGGAAGCTGAGACTGAGAGGGATGTGTGCCACGTGGCTGCAGCTGGTAGGGCTGTCTTCTGGGTTTGGGGCTTGCAGTGCTGCCTCACTCTGTGCTCACTGCAGACTGCAGAGGGCAGGTTTGCAGGGAGCAGCTCACACAGTGTTGGGCATGCAGAGCTCTGGGAGCAGGGCAAGAAAGCATTGAACACACAAAGGCAAACACCCTGCCTAGTGCTATGGCCCTCTTTCAAGGTTGGAGGACTGCCTACTTGGGCCTGCTCAGCCTCCACCAACTCTCCAGGAGGAGCCTCATGTCACAGGCACCTGTAAGGAGGGGCTGTGAGATCACACCAAAGGAATGACTGAGTTAGGAGTTAGCTTCTGAGGCCAGTCCCCTCCCTCTGGGCACCCTGCATTAATCATGACTTATTAGTTATGACACTTACCTAGCATGATCCAGCCATCCTGTTTACTCCTGACTGAGGGGTTCCCAGGATTCAGGCCTTTCCACTTTAGATCTCAGACAAGATGGTCTCTCTCCTGCCTCTCTCCAATCCTGGTTGACTTTCCCTCCTGGGGTCTCCCCCTTTTACTTTAGCCATTGCTGTTGTTGAGTCTTTGAACGCGAGGGGCATTGAATTATCTGGCTTCCTCTGAGTCCGATTACAACAACTTCACTGGACCTTCGCATCCATTTCTGTTACCCACAAAGGCTGAACTCAAGCACCCTCCCAAAGGCCATTTACCCCATGTTCCTGACCACCTACTATGTGCACAAAGTAGGGGATACACAAGGGTCCCTGCGGGAGAAACAACTATCATTCTCCAGGAAATGGCAAGGCTAGAGGTTGGGGGAGGGATTTCGTGGAGGTGACATGGGGTTGTGGAGTGTCCTTGACATGTGACAAAGGAAACATCTTGTGCAAAAATGCAGCTATGCAGAAAAGCATGACATGTTCCAAGATCAAGCAATTGGGGAGCATGGAGTAAGGCAGGATATGGTGGGGAAGGCTGGGAGGTTCCCTGGAGGGCARGGAAGGGCTGGCCTGTCACACTGTGGTGCTTTGCTTTAGACAGAGCAGCCTTAGAAAATGAGGGGCACCCACTGGCCAAGATAAATTTGGCTTCTCCCCAAACCAGCTGAGAATTAGGTCTCCATTCTCCCCTCCAGCTAGCCTTGGACAGTGATTCCCCATCATTATCTTTTGGATCTGACCCCACACACACACACACACACACACCACACACACAAAGCTCATGTGTTGAAACCTTAGTGCCCCACGAAGCAAGGTTCAGAGGTGGGGCATTCACACAATAACTGGATCTTGAGGGCTCTGACCTCCTCAGTGAATTATCCCATTGATAGGTGGATGGACCACTAGGAAGTAGGATCCATGCCCTGGAAAAGCTTATCTTCTGCTTCCTGGGTACCGGAAACTGAGTAGCTTTCCTCCACCATGCCCTCTGCCATGATGTTCTGCCTCACCTCAGGCTGAAAACAATGGAGCTGGCAGATCACGAACTGAATCCCCTGAAACCATGAGCCAAAATTAATCTTTCCTCCTCCAAGTTTTTCCTGTCAGTATTTTGGTCACAATGACAAAAGGCTACCACACCAGTGTAGACAGAGGGAAACTCACAGGGATGGCCTGCTCTTGGGTTGAAATTCTTTTCKGCTCTAGGTCATGCCTGCACATTACAATCACTTGGGCAGCACACAATGCCCAGGCTCCACTMTGGGCCAGTTAATCAGAAGGGGTCAAGGTAAAATGCCCTCACATGGCAATTTCTAAAAGCTCCTGAGGGGAACCCAATGTACAGCCAGATGGTAGAGGGACAAAAGGATGAGGTGGGGAGGAAGTGTTGCAGAGGTCCATTTCCTTCTTTTCCCATGCACCACACAAAATGAAAGGACACAGAAAGGCAGGGAGGAATGACCACCACACCTTGAGAAACATTTCCCACATTTGCAGTGTCCACAAACCAAGGAACGACTGAAAAGGGAGTTCTGGAAATGAAACCTCRCTGGGGTTTTGGAGGCCATTTTTGGCTGTTCTCTTGAGAGCTCCAAGAGTAGCCCAAAGCCACTGCTCAGCAAGAAAAGCTGGATCTAAAAAGTTGGATCCAAATCCGTCAGTGTACCTGAGGACTCCAACAGACCAGCCATTAGAAGGGCTATGCCACCCTCTGGTGGCAAAGTGCAGGTACAGCTTTCACCCCCCACTTCAGAAGTTCCCCCAAATCACTTTCCCCTTCCACTGGGAAAATGTTCTAGAACAAAGAATTTGCTATGTGAAGTCTAAATGGTCTGCAACAAATGCTTGACCTGCACATAGTGTCAGCAGGCCACCTCAGTCCCCACACACTTGTGGTTGATTCCTACACCCCAGCTGAGCGTCTCCAAGAAGTGTGGTAGGCAAGCTGATGCAGACCTTGGGAGATGTGGGACAGCCAGACAAGGAGTCACCACTCTGCATGGCCCTTAGAAAGTCACTAAAATTCAGCCCTCTTGCTTGCACATATGAGTAGCAGGACGTATCTTAGAGTTTGTGAAAATTAATGGGGAGGCAGGGGAAAAAAACTTTGCCTGACTTCCAGTAGGGACTATGGGGAATTCAGCGGAAGCCAGTAGCAGTATGGCTCCCGGTTTTCCCTGAGAACAGGTGACACCCCCATCCCWCCAGTCAGTAAAGAATTGTGCTGTTCTGCCAAGGCTCAGAGTCCCAAGAGGGATTCCCCAGTGCATCTGAAGGATTTTCAACTTGCATTTGAGGTTTTCTCTGTACCGACATTCCACTGATTTGACTTGTGATCCACATTTTTTTTTTCCACTGTTTTTTTTCCGTATTCTTGTTCAACATTTGCCCCAGCAGTCCTGGGGATTACTCCACTAAGCTACATTCCCAGCCTGAGTTATTTCCTGTTTCAACTCTCTTCTGGAATAAAGGAGGCTATAAATAACTTTATTCTTGGACTTGATGGGTCTTGCTCTTCACACATGTATTCTTTGGTGCTGGGCTTCACTCATGCTAGTCAGGTGCACTACCACCAAACTCCACCCCACAGCTCCTTCACACATGTATTCTGAGTTTACACTTTCAAATGCTATCACCTTTGATTAAGACAAAAGCCTCCTGCAAGACAGTGGTTCCAAAATACACATGTAAGAATGACCTCAGAGACTTAAAAAATGTTCTAATTCAGGTCTGGAATAGGCCCCAGGAATCTGTACTTTAAAAAAAAAAAGTTCCCCAACTGCTTCTGAGCCAGCCAGCCCAGTCCTAGGCCATGGAACAGTGTTTAAGAAACTGTCCTGGAACCATAAAAAAGGTTATTAGTGATAACAATGTCAAATTATTTTACAAAGTATGATTTTCTAAATAAAATAAATCTCAACTTTATTCAGCTGATATTTCAAAAACAGAGTGGAAATTCAAACTTGCAAATCAAATTCACTTACATTCAATAGGGAAAGTGGCTTTAGTGAAAAACCCAGCATGAAATTTTCTATAAAACCAGGACTAYTGTATTAATTTGATCTTGAATCTGGCTTTTCTTAAAGTGGCCAGACCTGGAATAAACATCCATGTAATAAGGGTATTCAAAGTTCCTCCTGGCAACTCACCTGCTGCAAACCCCAGCAGGCAGCCTAACTGCTGCACCAGGTGGCTAAGGCCGCCTTTTGGAGTTTCTAGCTAGCTCCACCTAAGAATTCACTCTGACCCCCACTAGAGGGCGCTCCTCCCCTAAACTGGGGAGTCGTCTAGGGTCCCCTAGACTGGGACCCTTTCCTGCACTCAGGCCACGCACTTCTTGCTCAGTAGGGCACTGGACACGAAGTGGGAAGGATGGTAGTTCTGTGACAATAGCCCTCTCAGTGCCCCCGAATCACCAGACACAGAACACCATTCCCAACCCCAGGCAGTAAAGACTCACACACCACCTCCACAACTTTTATTCCCAAGTAGGGAGAACCTGCTGCAAAGGTGAGGCATGAAGGTTTATCAAGGCCAGGAATCACTATAAAGGCAGGTGTGGAAACTGGTATTCACTACAAAAAGATGCCCTACCAGCCAACAGGGCCGGGGGTTGGAGGTGTCTGTCTCCCAGAGTTCAAGTCCAAATGGCTCAGTTGCAACTTGCATACCTTCCTCCAAAGTGTACTGTCTGGCAGAATCCTCAGGTGCCCAGGAGACAAGACAGGTCTCTGCAGCCTAATAATCCATTTTATGGACCCTCAAGAGCTCTGTTCTGAGCATGGTGAAGATTTCAAAATGCCTCCCAAAGGCAGGTTGAAGATGCTGCAGCCCYACTGTCCCTGCTTCAGGTCACTGTTTTTGCTCTGCAGGGCTGTTAATCCTTTTCAGAAGGGGTCAGATTCCTCTTTCCTGGAAATCTAGGATCCCTGTTTAGCCCAGAGGGGTAGGGAGGGGTAATGGATGTCTCTTCTGATCAGAAGTCTGAAATTAGTACCCAGAAAATTCATGTTAAAAATCTGTGACAATTAAGAAAATTCACCAAAGGGGGAGTTACGCCACAAATACATATGCCTGAAGAGACCAGTATTGCTACTGAAACAGGTGAGTAAGGGAGGGAAGAGACCATACACAGTAGGAGGGAAAAGAGGCACRAGACAGTTCAAGCTACAAGGAACAAAGACAAAGTGTAAGTAGAATGATCAAGGGTGGAGTTAATACTGACCAGGTTTCTAGTTCCGGGGAATTCTGAGTGTTATGTTGCCTCACCATGAGGCTAAGCCTTAGGGTTGGTAGGACAGTTGTTCTCTGACAGATGAACAACTACACTCACCAGGTCTTTCTGGTACTTTCAGAAATTTATCACATTAGATAGACTTCAAAACAGACTGGCTTTATAATGAATTCCACAATACTCCAGGTATTGTTACAGCCTTAATCCAGGGCTGGGAAGGGAAAGTTTCTGGTTCCTGGAAAGTCTCACAAGAACATATAATCAGAGACATCTCCAGAGTGACCTACCCTGGCTAGGCAGGTGCTAATGTATTTCAAGGAAGAGAAGAGAGCCAAAGAATTAAGAGATGTTAGAACTAGAGATGAGACTGTAACTGACAAATAACTAACCTTTGCTCATTGCCACCTTCTTAAGACGCAAAGGCCCATCAAAGCCTGGGCATAGGTGCCCAGCTGCAGTCTCTGAGTTTTAAGAGAGCTAACCATTCTAATACTTGGAAAAAAAAAATTGGTGACTCGGGTCTTCAGTCTCCAGACTGAACACTCCCAGGAACACTGGCCTTCCTTCAGGAAGGACAAACGCCCAGCAACCATAGTATGGAAAAGCTTACCCTTATCAGCAATACCTTTAATGTCTCTGCTTCTCCTAGGTAGCTGCTTCCAGGAAAGGATGATGAGTGTTAGCAGTTAGTCATCTACATGTCAGTTGCTGGGGGAGGGTGGCAGGAACAAGAGTTTGTAAACGGATCCACTATAACAGGTGCAGGAAAAGGCCTCTTCCCTCTCCTTTCTGCTCATGCTCCAGCCTATTTATCAGGAGCCTCAAAGGCTGCTGATGACAAGGTGTGAACAGTGTGAATAGTCCTGTGCATGAGGCTCACTGCAGAAGCCTTCTCCAGGTGCACACAGTCATGTGGACAAAGCCATCCCTTCCCTTCCCCAGTGAGAATGAGGGTGAGAGAATCAGAACTTCTTTCACTTTCTACATACCACGCATCTTGGTGGCACTAACTCCCCAAGATGTCACAGAAAAAAGAGCAGTTTGATCACAATTACTCCTAAGTGGTCTTCACAGTTAAGTCAGGCATACATTTCAAAAGGTGGCCTCTAGGCCCTTCTCTCTCTTACGTGCACACACTCACAATCACACAGTCTCGCAGTGGGAACAATGTCCAGCCACTGGGTGTGGCCAGCTCAAGTCAGGTACTGCACCACGAGGAACATGACTACACAGGTGAGCAGCATCCCGCCGATCATGAAGTACTTGTCCTGGAAAGCCCTCTTCTCAATGAGTCGCATCACCGTGTTAGATAAGCCCAGCATGTTGGCAATATCAAGGATCTTTTTCTGAGTCCCCTGCAGCAGACAAGAAGAGATAGAAAACAAAGACTGATTCACTGTGCCAATGGTGGGTGATGGTTATCACGTGCTGGGGCTTTACCAATGGGTTTTCTTGGTCATGCTCTATAAAAAAAAATCCACCAAAATAGACTCACTCTCCTATAGTCAATTGTTTTTGTTTTTACCAGAGTGAAAGGAGTAGAATTCCTTAAGTATGAATAAAAACCGAATTCCCACAGGGGCAAGAGGGAGCCCTATAGGGGTTGCCCAGGTCAAATGATTTTTAATCCAGGTACCAAAGCAACATAAAGGGAAAGAAACGTCTATATCACAAATGGTGATGAGACAACTGACTACATAACAAATTGTCATTTATATGTATCTCTCCCTAWCATACAAACATACACACACACACATCATACATATCACAGGAAGATATCTAAAAACTGGAAACAATTCAAGTACCCATCACCCACAGGATGGTTACACAAATCACATTTTATCTGCACAGTGGAATACTGTTCAGCAATAAAAGGTATCTAGTTGCCACCCATAACCAAACATGTAACTACATGAACCAACCTCAAAAATATCAGAGGGTAGCACACATAAAATAGTAGTATGAATGGTTATATGAATTCAGTAACAGGCAAAACTAATTACAGGTGAAATAAATCAGAATGGTGGTTGCCTGGGATAGTTTGACTAGGAGGGGCAAAGGGATCTTTCAGGGGTGATAAAAACAGTCTGTAACTTGATAGGAGTACGAGCATGATGCTTTTGTCAAAATGCACTGAACTATACAAATAAGCTCTGTATGCCTCACAATATAAACTACACTTCRATAACTATTATATCTTTCAAAAAATATAAGTATTTTCAAATTTAAATATATGTATTTTTAAATTTAAAACTCAATATATATTTTAGAGACCACATTGAAAAACTCTCCCTTGGCTCCCTACCTCCAATAATCCTTGATACTAATCTGCCCACTGTGTAGAGCAGAATCTTCAGGGATTCTACTGAGTATAATGTGTGGGTCAATGTCCACATTTATGAGGGTATGAAGTGGGAAAAGATGGAAATGCAGCAGACACCAACACAAAGACCAAAACCCCCTTATATAAATGTTGCCACTAAAACAAAAGGATATTTTATTCCTAAATCAACAGCCCAAACCATCCAGCCTACCTTTCTTTCTGCTTTCTAATTTTTAAGAACATTTATGAATTTGTTTTTTAAATATTTTTAAAAATATTTCTCCTAGGTATAACAAATATAAATGAATGCAGAGGCAGACCCCAAGTTACTTATATTCACAAGTCACTCATTATACTTGGACAGATGGATATGACTTACCCACATCCATTTTTTCTTTTTTCCCTTCCTGGTACTAGGGATCAAACCTAGGAGTGCTCTACCACTGTGCTACATCCCTAGTCCTTTTTATTTTTCGAGACAAGGAAGGYCTAAGTTGCAGAGGCTGGCCTTGAACTAACAATTCTCCTGTCTCAGACTCTAGTACTAGCAGATGAGATTACAGGTATGTGCCATTGTGGCTCCCACTTTTTTTTTTTAGTACCAGGGATTAAACCCCGGGGTGCTCAATCACTGAGCCACATCACCAACCCTTTTTTATACTGAGACAGGATCTCGCTAAGTTGCTTAGGGCCTCACTAAGTTGCTGAGGCTGGCTTTGAACTTGTGATCCTCCTGCCTCAGCCTCTTGAGCTGCTGGAATTACAGGCTTGCGCCATCTACTTTCTTAAATGAACACACATTCATAAGAGACTAAGAGAAAAGGCCAAGGAAGAAAGAGGAACAGGAGGCATCATTGACAGAAATTCAGAGCCGACATTCTGCCCACACAAGGATTAACCAGCCTTGTGAAGAGATCTCCAGGGCTGGGGTGAGGCTCAGGGCAGAGCACCTGCCTAGTGTTTAAGGTCCAGGATTCCATCCCCAGCACTGCAAAATATTTAAAAAACAAAAAAAATAGAGATGGAGAATGTGCACAGACTCAGGTTAAACTTGTTTGCTACTAGAGAAGACATGAAAGGTGACAGTGAAAACGAGCTTCTTACTGAAGAGCCTGCTGAGTGCTGAAGTGCAGACTAATCAATGTGAGGTTCAAGAATCAAATTTCTAAAATCACCTAAAAGTAACTGTACCTTTCAAAAAAAAAAKAAGTATTTTCAAACACGAACTGGCCTTAATCATTAGGGTGCTTCAGCCCAATTCCTTCATGTTCTTTCCAGCGTTGCTTTCAAATGATTTAGGCAGAAAAGTCCCTGACAGAGGCAGGTGGAAGGAATCAAGAGGCAAAAGACAGGTACAGACTAGGTGTGCAGAGCAAAGTGAGCTAGAAACTTTGAGGTGCAACCCCCAACGCCTAGATAGGTTCCCCAGCACTTCATCACTGCAGGTGGCAGAAGGTGGGTGGGCTCCTCAGTGCCACAAGACTTCAAGGAAGCTAACCTTTGCTTTAATAATAAAGCTCTACCCCCCACTGACTCTTCCATTAGTGTGACATGGAGTCTTGTCCTAAAAGGGCTCTACTCTTCAGCTGAGGTATGGAAAAGAGAGCAGCAGTTCTTTATAGAAAGAGTAGGCTCACCAACAAGTACCTGGTTAAATTAGTACTGAAATTGCTGCAACTGTCAGCAAGGGGGGTGGGGAGGAATGTCTCTGGCTCACCTGACCCTCTCCCTGGTAAGGATGGAGGGGGCTGTTCAGAAATGTATAGAGTCCTGCAGAGCTGACAGGCTCCATGTGGTCCAACAAAAACTAAGATAAAGCTCATACTTTTGAGTGACAGTTTCTCACAGCTCAGTGGATGGGAGTTCTTCATTACAGGGGCCACATCCTGATAACAGGCAAAGCCCACACCCCATCAGCCATCAGGGCTGACACAGGAAAAGGGCATGACACAGAGTCTGTGTCATGTTCCTGTAAACCACTCCCAGGGGGTCAGAATCTTAATGCCAACGGGACAGGGCTTCTAGGAATCCCTACAGCTAATGAGAATGAAGAGTCACTGAGAATCCTCACTAAGTGCTCTAGAAGCTTAGAAGTGATCTACTGTGAAACTATCTACTGCAGTTTTATGCAACCCAAAGACCCACCCATGGGAATTCAGGACTGCAGTAAGGCAGTGCACAATTGAGATCCTAAGGGAAAGCCAGCTAGGGTGCAGCTTTATCTTCATTTGAGCAGAGCAGATTCTATATCAGATCTTCTCAGCCTATTACTGGTCCCCCTGTTGTAGCAGTCAATTCCATGTAGGTTCAATAGATGGGGAAAGACCTGGATACCAAGAGAGGCCACTTTAYGGCTCAGGAATTTGGTTACTCTGGTGCTTATAGAAATCCAACTCCAACAGGAAGAATCAAAAACTCAAGGAAAACCCTTGCTGTTACAATATCACAATTTGGGGACACATAATCAAAATGTAAACAGTTTCAAACTGTTGGATGAGGCCAAAACAAAAGGCCTTCTCCCTGTTCTCCAGGAGGGACCCCACCTTCAAGGTCAGTCTCTGGGCCCTCAGTCCCTCCAGAATACTGTGCCCGCCTCCAATGAGGTCATCCATGCCGTGGTGAATGTTGTGGAGGGAGGAGTTAAACTGCAGTGATTCGTCCATTGGTATGGTGGTGGCAGAGTCCTGTGAAAGAAATGCAGGCACTTGATTAACTATGCTTGCTAGTCAGCTCCAGGGGTCCCACTGCTTCCGAGTGTTCTGCCTTGCAGCCAAGGCCAAGCCAGAACAGCCAGAGGGAATGATGCAAGAATCAGAGAACCCAACGGGGAAGAAAAAGCAAAGTGTGGGAGGCCTCCGTTTACAAAGAAGAACAAGCTCGTTTCCTCAGAACTGTCACTCTTCTGTTACCCAATTATTGCTGATTTCTGCCTCTGTATTATTTCTTAGGAAAACCTATTCCTTCAAGATCTCATTACATTTCTTGTAAAAGCTTTCTATGACTACTAAGAAAGGTGTTCCAAAAGTCCCTGACTTGGCTTCCCCTTAATGCAGCATTAAATGTTTGCTTTTGTTCTTCAGCTGTTTTATCTATAGCTTATCCCTCCAATTAGATTGAGACTAAGGATCAAAGAGCCTATGCTTTTTATTGAAGGCTAATGGTGTTCAGGATGGGAATACACTCCAAAGTAGGCAAGAAAAATGCTAAAAAATGGAGAGAGGCGGGGGGAAAAAAAAAAAAAGAATACAGGTTGAGTATTGTAGCAGGTGAGTGATCCTAAATCCAAAATGCTTCTTTAGGTTTTGCAGCATTTCCAATTTTRGATTTTCAGATTAAGGATGCTCAACCTGTACTGATCAAGAGCTTTCTTACTATACAGACTCATTACTGTAAACTCACTCTATCCTCATTYTGTGCATTATTATCCTCATTTCACAGATGAAGAAACAAACTGCAGAAAGAAGAATAACTCGTCCAAGATCATACAGCTGGTAAGAAGCCAGTATGACAGGAATCCTGGTACTAAATGCAAGGCCTGCTCTCTCTCAACCACACACACAGAAGAGAGACCATGATCAATCCTCATGGCTCTCATTTCACCCTAAAAGTGGTCTGTGTACAGAAGCAAGTCATCACCATGTGACAATGTTCTCTTCTCCTTCCCAACTTCTGACTTGCCCAAACTCCTGCCAAGCAATGCTGTTTTGACAATCTACACCTCAGTTCCTGATGGTACAGAGATTAAGCCTTCTTTTCTCTGCTCCACAAGTTCAGAATCATCTCTCACATGCAAATTTTCAATAACTCCTCTAGGAGTGGCACAGCTGAAGGAATCATTTTATTAATTTTCTCACAGTTAGCTCTCAGCACCTTAGTGTTCTACACAGAGCTAATGCTCTGGGTCAAAGGACTCTAGTGTTTGGAAAAAAATATCAATAAGCTGGGTGCAGTGGCACATACCTATAATCCCAGCAGGTCAAGACGCTGAGGCAGGAGGATTGCAAGTTTGAGGCCAGCCTCAGCAACTTACTGAGACTGTCTCAAAATAAATAAACAAACAAATAAATAAATAAATAAATAAGAAACAAAGGGCTGGGGACATAGTTCAGTGGTAAAGTGCACTAGGGTTCAATCCCCAGTACTGGCCCCCACCAAAAAAAAAAAAAAAAAAATCAATGACAGACTTCTCTTCATTTATTTGATAAGAATTTATTGAATGCCTTTTATGTGCAAATCTTTCTTACCTTCCTACCAGAAAAGTATCACTGATAGGTCATTATCTCCCAGGCACATGTATTATAGCTCCAGATGGCAATGTGACCAAGAAGAAGTTTCATTTGGCAAGTCAATGTTTACTAAGGGCCTACTGTATGCACAGTCACATCAGGCTGGTAAGTAACAAAATAACCCTGAGAGATATCCCTAGCCTAAAATATGCCTGATGCAAGACCATAACTATCAAAAGCCCACACAACAACATTTAGTGTGTCTATATAGAGCACTACATTTTTGAACTGTTGGTCATTCTGACCTGACTGCTTATCCTGGAGAAATAACACCTGTGGAGGCACATTCTGATGCACTGAAGGAAATTTCCTGCAATGCATGGATGGAGCAGTAAGAGTTTAATATCTGAAAAGCGGGAAATGATGTGGATTCTAGTAACAGGCTAAGGAAGCTGACACCTCTATAGAAAATAAACCTCTCTAATAAGGAACAAAATATAAAAACCCCAGACCCACCTCATTTGGTGAAACATGTTATGCAGGTCACAGAAAAGGCCAGTATGTTCTGCAAACATGTGCAGGGACTGATCCTATCAAGACTAAAGGACAGGGACAACGGTGTCTAAGAAATGAAATATGCAAACCATCAGGCCATTTTCAGACTCAAGCCAAGCAGTCCATCCAACACTAAACATCTGTTAACAAATTCCTCTAAATTGCTGTTCCGACTACAGGCAAAAACATTTTAATGCATCTGACACTGGAACCACACACATACACAGCATAACAGCAACTGCCTGGAGGCAGCTTTGAAATGCTGCCTTTTCTACCAGTGGCCTAAGTTCTAATCATCTGTCTCTATCTGATGACAAAAACATTTAGACCATGTGAACTTTCACCTCTGTGCACTGGACAGCTGAACCAGGTAATTTTCACCTCTGCCCATCCCTCAATTTAACTGCTTCCTCTTCAGGTTTCTGATTGGAAAAAAAGAAATTCCAGTCTAGATTTAGTATCAGTGGCAATACACAAAGTCCCCTGTCATTTCCAGTTGGTCTCCTCCATGTCAGTCTGTTTTAGATGTCCTCCTACAAAGATAAAGCTCAGCGACCTGAGCTCAGCCCCAACAATCTGTTGAGCACCTGCCGACCCCCTCGGCTTACATTAGTGGTGAAGGTACGAGACAGAAGCTCCTCTCGCTGTCTCTCCTGCTGCTCCCTGGCATAGCGTCGGTGCTGGAAGTTTCGGAGAGCAGTCTGCAGGTGCTGGACATCATACTTTAACTGGTCAACTCGACTGGAATCAATGAAGAGAGAGATTAAATCCCAGAAACCCAGTGCAGCACAATTTGAGGCAGCCAGGCCTTGTATTCAGGACAGAGGACATTTCCTTACTTTTCCCTACACCACCCCCTGAAATGTGATGTGAACCAATGATGTTGAAAGTAAAGAAGAGGCTTGAGGTTAAAGTGGGTGCTCACACACAAGATTCATCTGCTGGTTTCTGATTCTGGATGCATGATAGGGAACAGGTGACAGGAAGCAGGTTTGATGACCCCTTCCTGACCTTCTATGGATTATATCGCTCTCCTGGAAGAAGCCCAAGGGCATCTTTGAGGCAAAGCATCAATGAAGTTTCATAAAAGTTTAAGGAGCAAGCAGGGGCTGGGTGAAGGCGTTGAGGGTGGTTTCATTTTAATTTCATGGTGGAGTATCAAACGTTAGATCAGTATTTCATTATAAAAAAGACTGATTGAARTAAGAGCATGATTTCATTTCAAACAAGAACCCAGTGGGAATCAAAGAGCAGAGCCAAACTCCCTGACAATATCAGGCTTGAAGTGGTTAGAGGTCTGGTCAGAAAACAGAACTGGAGGCAAAATTCCAAAACACCACCAAATAGGTACTATATTTCAAGAGACCTTACAAGAGACCTCACAGGCTTTGACTATGAGGGGATAACACTCAAGAACTGTGCCTGTTGGGGGAATTTATCTTTGCACTTAGTTTTTCAACATGTTCATGTATTTTCAGAATATTCTACCACCTCCCTGGAAGGAAGGCCTTCCCTGGTAGCCTGGGGATAAGGGCAGTGTCAAAGGTCAGCACTTACAGTTTGGCATTCTGTCTTTTGTTAGGGGGTTCCTTGCTGGACAAAATCTCCAGACGTTCTAGATGGCTGAATATCTGGTCTATGCTTGCTTGGATTTCATTTTCTACTACTGCACAAAAGAGAAAAAAAGAATAAATGCTGGAAAAGATAGTGAATTTAAATTAGAATGATAAACCAAACATATTTTCCCCATATCCAATAAACTAATAATGTATTTCAAAAGGAGAAGAATGTATACACAAATGAATAATGAAAGAAAATCCAAGATATGCTAAAAGCGTTGTTTCAAACACACTCAAACACACACACACACACACACACACACACACACACACACACACACCTGTTAATGCCATAACAATGACAATTTTTTAAAAGCTAAAGGTAGATCTATAGAGATATACTTTTAGAAAATAAAACATTAAAAGGTTGTTCAAATAAATATTTTAAGCTAAGTTTTCTTATGTAGGTCTCTTTTCCTTTGAGATAGGTCTCAGATATAAAAAATACCTAGTAAAAAGAATGCCAATTTTACAGTAATAAAGTTAAAAAAAGGCACAAAGGAAAGAGAAGATTAGTATGGAAACATAAGGAGAAGAGTTCCCTTAAGGCTTTCTGTAAGAATGGGTGGGCTGAGCTATACCGAAGCCCCCAAAATAGATCAAATATCAACAGGAAAGGCCTAGGAAAGAATCCAGAGGTAAAAAGATTTGAAAAATACAGTTATTTTCCTTATCCTTTTTGATAAAGACAGTCAAAATGACCTCTTTTCCATTTCTAATCATGTAACAATGAGATTGCTGGGAAGGCAAACAAAGTCCAGTGGACAGAAACTGAATTATGCACACACACAAAAAAAGTACAGGCTCCTTGCCCCACCAAGAAGCGTCAGCAGGGGCACTGACTGCCCCTTCCTGGGTCTTTGCAAATGCAGCAAACACGAACAGTTGAAATTAAGATGCTGTGGGGCACAGAGAGAAAAGGTGCTCCGAGCTGTGGACAGAGACAGAGAAATGGCATGGCAAGAGCCAGGCAGTGGGGTGACAGGAGCTTCTGCAGAAGTGTCTGCATGTTGACCCAGAAAAGGGGCCCTTTCTTGGAACAGAATAAAGCCAAATAACAAAACCCAGCAAGTTTCTCAAAGGAAACCACGGTGTGGGAACTAAACTAATTAATATTGCTATTCGTTTCTGAATAATCCTCCTAAAAAGCCAGAGTTCTCAGCTTAGAAGAAATGGCCAATCCCAGTTAAACATCTCTGAATTTTTAAGGAGTGCATTCCTCTAAGGACTAGGTAATTAGATTAAGACAGATGGGGGGAAAGAACTTCCATTCCCATAGGGCCATGTCAGGTTGAGTGGAGGGGTAATGGGGGATAAGACTTGTGGGATTCCAAAGGGCACAATCAAGGAAATCAGTGACTTTGCCATAGGGTTTTTTTGTCTACCCTAACAACAAAATTCATTCCACACTGAATCATTAAGCCCTGAGGCAGAAGCAGTCAGGAAACCCAGCCCATTAGCACCGTGTCATCAGAGAAAGGACTCTGGTCTCCGTAGTTAATTACTCACAGTGCAGAGACTGCTTGTCTGCCGTCTCCAGGCGTCCCATGTGAGACTGGATCTCGTGGACCTGCCTATCAAAGGAAGAGGGAGGAAATGAGTGAGACAGGAATAATCAACAGCACTTCAGTGAGGAAAGACAATTTTTCTGATGCCAACACGTAACTGATTTAAACTGACAGCACTGCTGAACTGAAAAATTTGTATGTGATGCTTTGGGCCACATGTTTCTAATAGCCAAACACTAATATTAATAATACTGATAGGCAGCATTTAGTGAGTGCATACTGTATCCAAGACACACTGCTAAGTCAATAACCCTGTGAAGAAAGTACWATCATTGTCCTCATTTTATAAATAAGATGACTGAAACCAGAAAGGTTATGTAACTTGTTCGAGGTCACACAGCAAGTGATAAACTCAGAGATCCAACCAATCCCACTATCTGCTCTATGACCTAATGTGCTGAGCGCTGGTGTGTACTAACAAGAGTCAAAGGGCAAGAGAGATAGAATCCCTGTCCTTGAGAAACACTGTAATTAGGAATGACAGGCCAGATAGACATGAAAAAGCTCTGAGAAGATTTACAAGAAAACCAACACACATAAATGTAAACAAACAGAAAGTTGAGGAGCTTTGCACAGTGGTGTAAAGCAAAAGCAAATAGAAGGGCTGAGGCTGAGAAAGTGTAAGCTGGGAACTTTTGTGAATGAAAGAGTTCAGAGCAGCATTTTAAAGAAAGACATGATTTAGTGAAGGGAGATATTAAGAAAATGATATGCCAAAATGCACACATGGCATGCTGTGTGGGTCACTAGCAGGGTGGCCTACTTGAAGGAGAGTTGGTCGGAGAGAAGGATGAGGAAACCGTGCAGAAAGGCCTGAAAGACAGAATCTCCTGTTTGGTAAACATTCGTCCCTGGCAATAGGAAGAGACTGCCATCTGATTTGGAAATGCAACAGGATCCCAGATACCAGGCACCAGAGCACTCTGGAGGCTTTTCAGAACTTGGCCAAGGTCACCCTCAGAACACTTCTTAGTAGTCCCCCATCATCAGTCCCTGAAATATTACTTATGCTAGCCCCCATAGCCACCTCCTGGAGCTTACAGTCTCTTCATATTGAAGCCCAAGTGAAAAGGGCCTCATCCCCAGGCCTGAAGGAAAAGGTCACTAATCTTCCTTCATGGTGAGAACAATTGACTGTTACCCTAAATTTACCAATGACAGTCAGCCAGGAGCTCAACTTTGGTTTAAGCTTGCCTCCAGTTTTTCTGGGGCCTCCTTGTGGCTTCTAAATATAACTCAGGACACCAGAAGCTAGGCCACCTGTCTAAGAACTTCCAGAGTGTTCCCAGGCAAGACTGCAGCTAGAAATCACTACTAGAGTCTGCAACCAGACAGCTGCTTCAGTAAGGTAAGTCCAGGATATTTTGGAATGAGGGGATGTGGAGGTATGGAGGCTGATACAGAAATGCAGTTTGACCATGTGGAATCACCACGTGGAACATCTGGATCAGGGTAACTAAGAGAACGGCAACAGAAGACAGCAGAATTAGGACTTTACTGAAGGCCTGGATGTAGGCAGGTAAATTTAATAAAGCAAATCAGAAAGTTGACAGCATTATCAACAGGAACAGCAACATAAAAATACAAAAACTGGTGCGKGAGCAAAAACCAGCCAAGATGACTCTGAAGACATGTGGAGTATCACTCCTGTTATTAAGACCTATTATAGCCGGGCAACATGGTGAACACCTGTAATCCTCGGGGCTCTGAGGCAAGAGGATCATGAGTTCAAAGGCAAGGCGTTACGCAACTCAGTGAGACCCTGTCTCTAAATAAAATACAAACTAGGGCTGGGGATGTGGCTCAGTGGTCAAGTGCCCCTGAGTTCAATCCCTGGTACTCACCCAAAGATACTTATTATAGAGCCATAATAATTAAAATATAGTAGCAGTGCAGGGTCATATGGACAAAGATAGACAAACCCTAACCTTGCCCTAAGAGGAAATGGTCCCACGTATTTGGGAAGTTGGTGACATAAATCAGTTGAAAAATAATGGACTACAGTACATGCTGAAAACTCAATTTATTATCCATATAGAAAAAAAGACACTTTATGAAACACACACAAAAACTCAAGGTGGCTTAACACCTAAATATAAAAAGCAAGGCTTTCAAACTTTCTGAAGAAAATACAGGCATATATAAATGCCTCAGGTTAAAGAAGGATTTTTAATATTATGACAAAACCCAAAAATCACCTCAAAGGAGAAGACTGGAAATTTTGACATTAAAATGAAACAACTTCTTTATACCAAAAGCACCACAAACAACAATTTAAAKGCCAGGCATGATGGTGCACACCTATAATCCCAGTGGCTCAGGAGGCTAAGGCAAGAGGATGATAATATGTTCAAGGCCAGCTTCAGCAATTTAACGAGACCCTAACAACCTAGTGAGACCCTGTTTCAAAATTTTAAAAAATAAAAAGGACAAAAAGGACTAGGGATGTGGCTCAGTGGCATCCCAGTCACTCTTTAGTACCCCCCCCAAAAAAATTAAAAGACAGCAGACTGGAAGATAGCTGCAGAAGATAACAAAGAATCAATGTCCAGACTATACAAAGAATTGCTCCAAATTAACAGGAAAAGTCAAACAAAGAAATTTTTTAATAGACAAAGGGTAAATGAAAGAAAAGGAAAGCCATATGGCCAATAACTCTATGAAGAGATGCTAGACATTACTAGTAACGCAGGAAAACATGTCAAAAACAATGCTCCCCTCAGACTGACAAGTAGTTTAAAGTGTGAGAACATACTACTGACATGGATGTGGGGAACTAGAACTCTCATACATGGCTGGTAGGATTATGAACTGGTAGAACACTTTCATGGCTTTCTGACAACATCTAGTAGAATCAGTAGACATCTACTCTATGACCTCACATTCCACCTCTAGCAATATGTCCGATGCCAGAGAGATCTGGCATACAATGAGGAGGCATTTGCAACAGCTGTTCATCCAGGCCCATAACCCACCATGAATAATTCTAAAATTCAAAATGTTCTCAAATTCCTAATTTTTTATAAGTCTGTAGCAAATTAATTCAGTGGTGAAAAATGATCAGACATGAATCTATGGTCTTTGTTTATTCCACAAAGTGTGAAATTTTACAGCAGTTTTTCATGTATCCTGTGGTGCCCTGATGTTTGGGATGTTACATGATATAGGGTACATGTACCACATTTCTTTCCTAAAAGCTGCAACACACTTGAATTCCAAAGTGGTTTGTTCCTAAGGATTTCAGATAAAAGACTGTGGACTTTTATAGCAAAAAAAAAAAAAAAAAAAAAAAGAGTTACAATCCAAGTGTTCATCAAAAAAGGAAATTAGTAATTCGGCAGTTTAATTAAACTATACAAGCAGTTTAAACAAAAGAGACCTATGCATATTAACACATACAATAAGTCTTTAAGAAAAGACAATATTAAACTCTAATACATCAGTATCTTTTTTAAAAAATTAAAATTAAACTAAAAAACACATCAAACAGTAATATTGCTTGTGGATACAAATATAGGAAGAAGAATAAAATAATGGATAAGAGGGTGGCTATCTTTAGGGCTGAGGAACAACAGGTGTGGAGCTTTTAATTTAACTTCTGTCTCTAAATCAATAATGTAAAGCACCTTTTTTTTTTTCCAAACAAAATGATTAGGCTTATTTTTTCTAAACTCCATTAAAAAAAGGAAAATGGATTTAAGACAAACTCAAGTACAAATAACAGCATTTGAAAATATATTTTAGAAACAAGCAATAATTATTCTACAAAAACATACATCAGAATTAAATTTGCAAGAAAAACCTGACACTTGAAAAAACTCAAACCCACATGGGTAAGACAAAAGGCAACACAATTGACATTTCCCTGTAGAATCCCTAGGTGGAATGAGGCTAGACATRTATTGTCAGCAAAACACAGGTATTAATGAGTCCTGACATATGAGTTTTGTTATTCTCTATCTTTGTTTGAAATATTTCATAAATAGAAGTTTTTTCAAATGTTAAGTCAATGGTTAATGAGGATCATTCATTCATTCACACATTAAACAGACCATGCACAACGGTCCATGGGCAATTAGGAAATGAAACCACAGATTTGTCTACAGTGAGAAAGGAATGATACATTGAGAAGGCTACAACAAATTTGTGTTGATTTTAAGAGGAAATGGCAGTTTCTAATATCTTACGATAAATATTTCTTGATGATACTACAGATTGAGGGATTCACAACAGGCCAAACAATGACACACAAGGGAACAAGGGATACTAGGGAAGATTTCTAGTGTTCATCATGGGCTGCCTTAGAGTTTGTTTGTTTGTTTTAAATATTTATTCTTAAGTTTTAGGTGGACACAATATCTTTATTTCATTTTTATGTGGTGCTGAGGATTGAACTCAGTGCCTCGTCATGCTAGGTGAGCACTCTACCACTGAGCCACAAACCCAGCCCCTGCCTTCGGTTTTTTTTTTGTTCATTTAAAAAAAAAAAAATCGACTTATGATTATGAGTTCACATACAGAATGTTCTATGACAAAAAAAATACTAACATTTTCATTTAGGCTTAACAGTATAATGAAAATGTGTCAAGGAAAAAAAAACAACTTTGCCTTTAATTTTTTTTTAAGTGAACAAATATAGACTGGCATTCAATTCTGGGAGTCATCTGTTAAAGGTTTTCCCCAATAGACAATGAGGAGGATGACCAGGGTTTAGAAGTCAAAGGATGGTCCAAAGAGCTCATGATACCAAGTCTCTGGGAAAAGAAAGAAAAACTCACTAAAATGGGGTGCTGGTGTTCTTCAAATATTGACACAAGAGGGGAGAAATGGGCTTGCTCCCTGTTGATGCTTCTTCAGGGAGACCCAGAACCAAAAGGCCCATGTTTTCAAGACAACAGATTTCAGCTTCATAGGAAAAAAAAACCAAGAACACAGAACACTTATGAACTCTCTTCAAGAAAAGAAAAGAGGGCCGGGCGTGGTGATGCACCCCTGTAACCCCAGTGGCTTAGGAGGCTGAGGCAGGAGGATCGCAAGTACAAAGCCAGCCTCAGCAACAGTGAGGTGCTAAGCAACTCAGTGAGACACTGTCTATGTCTCTAAATAAAAAATACAAAATAGGGCTGGGGATTTGACTCAATGGTCAAGTCCCCCTGAGTTCAATTCCTGGTACCAAAAAAAAAAAAAAAAGGCAGGGAGAGATCACTCCATATATATGTATGTGTACACACACACATTTTTGTACCAGGGATTAAACCCGGAGGCACTTAACCAATGAACCACATCCCCCAGCCCCTTTTATTTTTATCTTGAGACAGGTCTCATGAGTTGCTAGCTTTGAACTTGCAATTCTCCTGCCTTAACATCCTGAGTCACCGGGATTACATGGTGGGTCACTTCATATTTAAACATAGATTACATGGACTGTCTTACAAAGGTCTTTTAGACCAAAGTCAGAGTTGGAGTGGAAAATTGTGCCAATCCCTTTTATGTCTTAGATTGTATAAGACAGCAGGAGAGATGTTAATAATACCTCAAAAACATATTTTTACTAACTTTGGTTTTGTAAGCTAAAAGGATAAACTTTAAAAATTTGCAAAAAAATTACTACTTCTCCCATTTAGTTTCTAATTGCTTTGAATGAATTAGAGAAGATCAGCCTACATGATTCCAATCTCTAGATTCATTCCATGCTAAGAAATAAATGCAAAACAACAACAACAAAATAATAACACAAGTCCGACAGGCATGGTGGGAACTACAATATGATAAGTGGAAAATCTGTTTTAAACTAAACTGGGAATTCAGATAATACATGCATAGCTGATAAAGAATAGATGACACTTAAGTATGACCCGAGAGGGTAGATATGAGAAAAAAGAAGTTTTAGCCCTGTTTAGCATGGGGTCCACAACAGGCTTGGGTGATAATAATAACCAAGCAAAGACCTAGAAGAAAGTAAGCAAAGGGCACTGTTGCTGCTTTAAAAAAAAAAAAAAAAAAAACATAAAAAGGTTTACAAAGGATGTAGGAAGGGTTTTAAATGAAACCAGTCTTCCACAAGAAGATCCACCACACAGAGCCACTTTGCAAGCWCGCTGCCTCCCACCAATACCAGCAGGAAACAGGGTTCCGGAGTTAAAGGATCTGGGTTAAAGGTCTAGTTTCACTATGTACAAGCTCAGGGACACAAGTCATTTATTTTCTAGGTGTCTCAGTCTCAACTATAAAGTAGGGATACTAATAGTAATGATTATCCAAAGGATTATAGAACCCAACGCAATATGAAAATGCTATACAATATACACAGCCTTGCGTAACGCGTTTTTTATTTTATTTTACTTAAAGTAATGGGAACCACCTAGTCATTTTTAATTCCACAACTCCATCTACTGTCTTTACATCATGAGAATGCAAATTTGAAAAGAAAAAAAAATGCTTTTGAGATATGTAAAAATTCTTAAACCCAGGTTCTCATCAAAATCACATAGAAGGGGCTGGGGTTGTGACTCAGTGGTAGAGCACTTGCCTATATGCGTGAGGCACTGGGTTCCATTCTCAGCACTGTATTAAAATAAATGAATAAAATGAAGGGCCATCAATGTCTAAAATAAAGATTTTTTTTWAAAAATCACTTTGAAAACTTATTTGATCAGAGCTTCTCATGCCTCAGACCTACAKGAGGATGATCTGAACTACACAGGGGACAAACATGGGCACTGTTACAACCACTGGAATCTCAAAAACCCAGCCACTAGCCCTATATAAAGTTAGCCTTTATGAAATATTATTTAAGTGTACAATATTTATTGTTTTTTAATCTCTTTTTTTCATTCATTCATTGTTCAGGTAGTTCAGTTTTCAAGATAAAGTGCTGATTTAATTCAAATGTACTTTTATGCACATGACAAGAGATAAATCACAAATGGGGTTCAAAGTTCCAGAAAAATTAATCTTGTTACTATTGTGTCAATTCAGCAACTAGCATATTATTAACTTTAAAGCACTGTAAAGCCCACTGAAACTTGCTACTGTAAAAGATTTGCCCTTTCTTAGTAACACAAACATAATTTTGTTTCATTCCTTTTTTTTTTTTTTTGGTGCTGGAGATTCAGCCAAGGGGAACTTTGCCRCTGAACTATATCCTGGCCTAGAATCTGCAATCCTCCTGCCTCAGCCCCGAGAGTTGCTGGGATCATAGGCATGTGCTGCCACTCAGCCCAGCTGTTTTATTGCTTTTCTAAATGACTCACAGGGTAATTTTTTAAAGTTCCTTCCTACAATTTTTATTTAAGAATAAGGTTCCCCAGGGCAAATGCAAATTCTGTCATTACAAGGTAGTTTCTGTATTTTCCTCCACCCAAATCAAACATTTCATTGCCAAAGTAAAGTGCAAGAAACCCATAAACTTAGAAAATAAAGGGCTAGCCAGGCGCAGTGGTGCACTCCTGTAATCTCAGCTACTTGGAAGCTGAGCACAGCCTGGGCAACTTAGCACTTGTCACAAAATAAAAAATAAAAAGGACTGATGGCTCAGTGATAAGAATTCTCTTGAAGAAGAATGAAATTATGGCACTTGCTGGTAAATGGTTGGAACTGAAGAATATTATGCTAAGTGAAATAAGCCAATCTCAAAAAACCAAAGGCCGGATGTTTTCTCTGATATGCAGATGCTAATTCATAATGGGGGGTAAAGATAGAGATATCTTGGACTAGACAGAGAAGAGTGAGGGAAGGGGGCATGGGGGTCAGAAAGATAGTAGAATGAATCAGACATTATTACCCTATGTGCATACATGATTACATAAACTGTGTAACTCTACGTAATGTACAACCAGACAAATGAGAAGCCATATTACATTCATATATGATGTGTCAAAATGCACTGTCATGTATAACAAATAAAAATATATATTAAAAAAAGAATACCCCTGAGTTTAATTCCCAGTACACTAAAAGTGAGAGCGAGTGAGTGAGCACACACACAAAGCATGAAGAGYAAGAGAATCATCATCCTCTTATTCCTAATGCTTAAGCTTGTTGTGAATTCTCCTTAGTGAATTTTATTTCATTTCCAGGCCTAGCAAGTGTGATTTTAAGTGTTTCCACTACATCAAAATGATAGCATAAATCTGAAAGTTCTTAAAATGGGATAGGTATAGGTATACATCTCAAAAAATTGAAAATGGACAAAAATAGCATCATTCTCAATAGCCAAAGGTGGAGTGTCCATCAATGGATAAACAGACAACAAAATGCCCTCCCTAACATATAATGAAATATTATTCAGTCACAAAAAGGAATGAAATTCTGATACATGCTACAATATTGAACCTTGGAAAACATGCCACCAGAAATAAGCCAGGCCACCCCCCCCCCCCCAGAGAGAGAGAGAGAGAGAGAGAGAGAGAGAGAGAGAGAGAGAAATTGTATGATTTCACTTCAGAAAATAGAATCAAATTTACTTGAGGCTCTGGATAGGAGGAATAGGGAGTTACTACTTAGTAGGTACTGAGTTTCTGTTTAGGTTGGTGAAAAAGTTCTGGAAATGTATAGTGGTGGTATAATTCTGTACTTAATATCACAGAATCATATGCTTAAAAAGAGTTAACATGGGAAATTTTGTTATGTATATTTTACAAAAGAAAACTAAAAATATATTTTTTTAAATAGGATAGGTATGGTTCCACATCACCATACTCAACTACTTCCAACAATGCAGGGCAATAWGACTAAAGGACACACCGAGGAATTTTAGTTATGAGAAACTAAGTCAATTATATTTCTTAAAGGTAAGCTGTAATCAGATATGACTGACAAACACTGTGAATGCTACCTGTATGGTAATTTCTTTGTATTAAAAAACATAATCTTTGGCAGATATCAAAATCAGAATAAAAATAACTTTTCATTATTCCCCTGACTCTTCGCCTTCCCCACGGTTTAGTGAACTCCTAGGGGCGAGGAGCCGCGTCTGCTCCGTTCTCCCCCGAACTCTACCAACCMGAAGCACCGAGTTGCCAGGTGCTGGAGGAAGTACTACGACCTGCAAGTGCCACTACCCCTTCGCCCAGTCCACTCGACAGGCAGTCACAGCTTGCAGACCCCAGAGGCCCTTCGGCCCAACGTCTCCGGAGCCCCAGACTGAGCGGGCATCCCGCCAGGGGTTGAGAACTTCCGAGCGTTCCCGGCGGAAGGGCTCGGCCTGTACACGGGTGTCCGCCCGAGACCCCAGCCCCAGGGGCCGGCCTCGCCTGGCCTAGCCTCCGCCCGCTCCCCGACGCTGCCCTCACTTGTGCGTTTGTTGGTACAGTGGCTCCATGTCGCCGGCCCCGCCGGCCCGGGCTCTGGCTTTCTCAGAACACGTCCTCAAAACTTCCCATCCGGCTTCCGGCTTCCTGTTTCCGGTCGCAGGACCCACCCCGCCTCTCCCCTCTCGTTAGGGCGCCCTTGATCGCGCCTTACTGACTGAGGTTTTGGGATGGAGGAGAACGAGAAACAACCGCAAGGGAGGAAAGAACACATGTAGCTAGAGGCTCGGCCTCACGTCGGGGCCGAGGGGGTGAAGGTTTTTGCCAAGGTCCAGCTGCAGGATTGAGTCAGGTTTTGAAAAGGACAGCCGCGGAGTGAGGTCCTGGTGTGAGGTCCTCAAAGCAAAGCTGCAGACGCGGCTCTTGACTGCGGTTTTCGGCTTGTCTTCTCTGACCCTGCGATTGCGGATCTTCACCGGGTTCTCTGGCTAATTCTTCCCCTGTATTGAATTTGTCCGCTCAGTCGCACGCCCATCTCCCTCCTCCCCTTCCCATTTTTCCAACCAATAAACCCGCATTGAATGGAACCCGCATTATCTGGTGTCATGGGTGGTAACGGGGAAAATCCGAGTTCCTCCGGCCCTCAGAGAGGTCGCCGTCTAGGAAAGGAGATAAGCTATGTATACGAATAAACATTCTAAAAGGTAGAAAATCCGGAGAAAGCCCAAGAAAATTGGCTGAGCTAGGGTTGTGTTCGGTGGGAGATTCAGGAGACTTGAAGAGGTTGGCATTGGAGTTGAGACTTGGATGGGCTTGTACATTTCTGTCTTTCCACGTAGACCCATAGCGTTTTCATCCTCCCAGGCTTTATCTGCAGATCCTCCCAAAGGAGGAGATGTTCCTCTTCCTTTGACAAGTTGATGTTTCTATTCTCCCATATCCTGGATCCCTCCCAGTTTTGTGTCCCAAGAGACTGTCCACCCTTGTTGTTTATTTGCTTAACATTAGCTTCTCCACTTGTATTCACTGAGCATCTACTATGTACCCTGCACAGATATTGGGGATAAGAACACAAAGCAGCAGTCCTCAACTGTCTCATACCTCTCATAAGTCCATTTAGAGGGCTAGACGTACACTCCAGATCAATTATCAAGTAGAATATATGCTACTTTTGATTGAAGTACCATTTCCATGGGGAAGAGCAAGAAAAGTTCATGGATCATAGACTAATTGCCATATGAATAGGCCTTCAAGAATCAACAGTGTCTTGCCTTTACTAACCACTGTTTCTTGTATTGCCTTGGTAGAGATGAAAGGGAGGGCATTTAAGAGTGAAGGAATAACTTGAGTAAAGGCATATGAGGAAAGAATTTGGACCTCCTGTGGCTGGGCTCATGGGGCTTGGAGCAAGAATAGTATTAGAAGGAAGTTCAGAGCTAGATCACGGGGGAACACAAATGTAAGGCTTAGATTTTCATTTGTAGATTTTGATACTATAGATAGCTGGAAGCTATCAGAGGTTAGATAGAARTTTTAAATTTCTCAAAGACTTGTTTTATTTATTTTTGTAGTGCTGGGGATTGAACACAGGGCTCCTGGCATGCCAGGCAAGCACTCTACCATTGAACTACATCCCCTGCCCCTCACACCTAATTTTTTTTTTTTTTGAGACAGGGTCATGCTAACTGCCAGGGCTTGCCTTGAACTTGCCATCCTCATGCCTTAGCCTCCCAAGTAGCTGAAATTACAGGCATGTACCACTATGCCGAGCTCTCAAAGTACTTTTATGCCCATTTCTTATTTCCTTTGGGCTCCACAGCATCCCTGTGAGGTGAATAAGGCAGATAAGAAAATTGAAGAACAGAAGCCTCCTTATGGCTTCCCAGGCTTTTACATGTGCATATGCAAATAGAAATAGAAGGAAATTCCATCCCTCTATCTTGCATTCTTGTGTCTCATTTCTTATTTTTCTTTTATGGTAAACCACTGGGACAGTTGATTTATTATGCTGACATTCTCTATAATGACTTGCCCTCCAACCTCTCCTTTATTCTCCCAGAACTGTTTTTGAGGCTCACCAGAGCCCACCTGACTTAGTCTAGTGATGTTTTCCCATAAATCATATATTAATTGAGCTCATACTATGTATCAGGAATAATGCAAGGGCTGGGACACAAAGATATGTAAGATACTATCTTTCTGCAAAAGTTTAATATACTGGAAGGGAAATTACTTTCTTTTTTTTTCTTTGTTCTTTTTAGTTATACAGGCCAGTAGAGTGTATTTTGACATATTATACATATATGGAGTATAAATTATTCCAATTAGGATCCCATTCTTGTGGTTGCACATGATGTGGTGTTTCATTGGTCACGTATTCATATATGAACATAGGAAAGTTATGTCTTACTCGTTCTACTGTCTTTCTTATTCCCATCCCCCTTTCCTTTATTCCCTTTTATCCATTCCACTGAACTTCTAAATTCTTCTCTCCCCCCACCTTATTGTGTGTTAGCATCCACATATCAAAGAGAACATTTGGCCTTTTTTTTGTGTGTGGGRGGGGTGGCTTATTTCACTTAGMATGATAATCTCCAGATCCATCCATTTACTGACAAAAGTCATAAAGGTACTCTGTTTTATGGCTGAGTAATATTCCATTGTGTATATATGCCACATTTTCTTTATCCATTCATCTGTTGAAGGGCACCTAGGTTGGTTCCATAGCTTAGCTATTGTGAATTAACTGTTGTAAACATTGATGTGGCTGCATCACTGTAGTATGCTGATTTTATTGGGTATATACTGAGGAGTAGGATAACTGGATCAAATGGTGGTTCCATTCCAAGTTTTCTGAGGAATCGTAGAAGGGAAATTTCTATACAGATAATTAGAATGCTCTGTGGTGAGTGTGAATCAGGGGTAATTGGGAACTATGGGGTGATTGAGAGGGGATACTTAGCCTAGTTTGGGAATTCAGAGGACTTGAAAGATGACTGATACCTGAACTGAGTCTTGAAAGCTAAACCCAGTGAGGAGATCATGGTGCACAGAGAAACTACAGGTAAGTTTGATGTTACTAATATAATGCACAAAATGGCAAAGATGAGACCAGAAAGATAGACTGTGATCAAGTCAGTCTAAGGAGCTTGGACTTCATTTTGTAGGTGGCAAGGAGCCTTTGGAGGATTTCAATCTTGAGAGTCACTTGAGCAAATTTGCATTTTACACGGATCACTCCATCTGCAGTCTAATGGGCAGGAGGAGGGAGATTGACTGAAGGATTATTTGTTAGTACTTCATTGGTAAAGGATCCTCTGGGAAATGTCTGTCTGTCTGTCTGTCTATCTATCTATCTGTCTTAGCAGGATTGTTAGGGTTTGTCAAGCCCCAGGCAAAATGTTTATGGACCCTGTCTATATAAGCAATTTGATTTAAAACTGTGTTACAAAATTCATGGACTCATATAAGAACAGTGATTTATCAATGAAGATTGAGAATACTTGACAGAGGAGAGGTACTTCCATATTTGTTTATTGTCCAATAAGTGCATGTGAAGATCCCTTTACAATGTTCATGAACCCTGGCTCCCTGTGTGGGTGAAGGCACGCTCTCTTCACATTCATGTTGTCAAGCATGCTCTTGCTGGCTGGTTCTGGCTACCATGAGAAAAAGCGAACAATGCTGTTTTTATTCACAGTGCCATGGCTCTTCAGAACCTGCTCATTTTGTCTGTATAGCTCTTCTTGTCCCTCCATTTCCTCTTGTCATCTATTCAGTGCTAATTACATTGAGACTCATGATGTTTCATCATCCTTCATTCTGCCCATGGAGACTGGCTTTCAGTGACTCTAAGTTTGTTACCATGCCTCATCAATGATGACACTAAATGGCAAGATTTGTTTAGAGTATGAAGGAAACCATGAGTAACAACTCATTGTAAGTGTACACTGTGTTGTTGTATACTGTAAATGTACAGCAATGTATCATCCAAATATGTCTTCTCTTGAATTCTTTAGGCCTAAGGACTGTATTCCTAGAATGTGATCTTTTCCACTGTTGACTGCACTCCTGACACTGAATCCAGTTGTCTGTGGGAGTGGAGWTGGGCTACAGACCATGGATGGAGCTAAAGAATGTCTGACCCACACCTAACACAGCTTGAGATTAACCCAGTAGCTTGTGAGGTCACGACATTGACCAGAGAAAAGAGACAACATTGATTGGAAAAGCTTCAGGCATTACAGATTTCCAATCTCAAATGGAAAAAAAAAGGCGTGGCATTCCCTGGAAGACTGCCTGACACACGGTTGCAAAGCCCGAAGAGAGGGTGGGGTGGAGGTCGGGGCTCTTCACAGGATAAAGGACGCTGCCACTCTCACTCTTCTGGCATGCTCTAGACCAGAGGCAGCACTGTGGTCATAACCCAGACTGGTGAGAACCATGGCATTGACCCAGGCAGATGATTCAACCCCAAGGGTCGATGGCAGACTGGTAGCAACCCATTCCTGAACTCCTGTATCCAAGGTGAATGGGAATCACCCATATTTAACAAGTCAGTACCTTTCTAATGGCTAATATTGTGCAGTGCCACAGAAGAAGCACTGTGCTGTCCAGCACAAGCAATCTGCTTGTCAGCTTGCCCTGGACAACCTGATAGGCTTGAACCCTGAAGCTCTTCAAGGCATCTGGTCAACCCCATAGATGCTGTGGCAGGTCAAAGAGTACSTTGAAGAGAAACAGACCAGAGAAACAGACCAGGATTCTCCCAACCACTGAAGGACTTGGAAAWTTTTCAACATTAGCACTCCAAAGTATGAGGTCCCCTGAGGAGTGGGGTAGGATGTGGGTCAGTGACCTTGCCTGTCTAGGTCTCAGGAAAAATAGTGCTATAAAATATGGTTTCATATTCTTTTCTACTGCTCCCACTGAGAGACAGAGTTCAGTTCCATTCCCTTGAAATCTGAGCTGGATTTGTGACCTGCTTGACCAATACAGAAAACAGAGTGATCCTGTTTTCTCCTGAGCCATTGCCCCTAGAGACATCCCGCCTGTTCCAGTGYACATGTGCCACCTTGCATAATTGGTGCCTGCTCTGAATTACTTCTTTTTTTTTTAACTTTTTAAAAAA